CTGGGACTACGGGTGGCCTACGGTCTGTGTTACGTGTGGGGGTATCCTTGGTAGGAGTGGCCCTGTAACACGCATTTGTTTCTTCTGCCCTGAGTCCTCTCACTCTGTGAGGGTCTTGCTCGGGCGGAGCTCCAATCACCCTTCGCTGGCCTGCTGGGAGTACATGTTCCTACGGCCTCCGCGTTGTGTCCCACTAGCGAAGTCCTAAGGGACGTAGCACCATGACGTAGAATTAATAGTTACATATGTAACTTAAGTTCTACGAATAGGTGCGTAGTCCCTTAGCTACGAGCCCATCAGGCCAGCCCGGCTTGGCAGAGTTCAAGAGGGGGTGCGGCAGTGTGCAGGGTCCTTTATAGAGGAGGGTGCCTGGTGATTGGAGCAAATTATTTTGATCTCTCTGGCGTGTGACCTGGGGGTCACGAGTGATATCCCACTAGCAAAGTCCTAAGGGACTACGCACCTATTCGTAGAACTTAAGTTACATAGGTAACTATTAATTTCTTCCTCCTGTCAATTCTCACCCACATAAAACACTGAAAGAATTTAATTCTAGATACGACGGCCATTGATATATCCATGAGGCCCACGGAAATAAGCCTTCTTGCCTTCCTCACGTGCTTGTTTAATGAGCGGCCATAATACCTCTCTGGCCTCTTTGACCTCCTTGGTGAGATCTTCAGTAAACCTGATACCAGCGCTCTTGCAGATCCTCGAATCTTTTGTCATCTTCCAAATTGCATCTCTGTGGTGTCGTTTTGGAAACTGGACAATGATGTTCCTCATTCTCCCGTTCTCCTTCGGGCCAAGCCGGTGGACGACATCCACATGTTCATGTGGATGCGGCGGCACGGTGGCTGAGTGGATAGCACTCTTGCCTCTCAGCAAGAAGGTCCTGGGTTCGAATCCCGGTTGGACCAGGGCCTTTCTGAGTGGAGTTTGCATGTTCTCCCCGTGTCTGCGTAGGTTTCCTCCGGGTGCTCCGGTTTCCCCTACCACTAAAAATATGTACAATAGATCTGGCATGTGCCTCCTGTACTGGCACCCCCACTCCCAAAAATAACAATTGTAAACCGCTTTGAGACTCCGATGTGCAGTGAAAAGCGGTATATAAATAAAGATTACTACTTACTACTACTACTTCATCCATCTTATCAGCCCAGTGCGGAGCAATTTTCTTCAAAAGTTCGATGACTTTGTGTCGAGTGTCTTCGTTCATAACTTCTTTCATGCCTTTGATTTTGAGGTTCCATCTTCTTTTGTAATTATCATGTTCTCTGCATTTTTCTTTCAGTGCAGCAATTTCAACCTTTAAGCTGGTAATTTCGTTCTCCACATGGGTTGTCCTTACTTTGCAATCTTTGATTTCTGCTGATCCACAGGTAATACTAATCCCGTGCGAGTAAACAAACTTGTTTCACTTCCGGGTAATCGATTGACGCCAAAATGTATTAAATAAATAATTAAAAAAAGGTTAATTATTGCATATTCTAGTTCCCAAATCCGGTTATTATAATGCATATATATATATATACATATATATATATTTATATATATACCTCGGCCCCCTTTCCTCAAACATCACTGCCTCCGCCCGTAACCTTGGTGTCATTTTTGATTCTCACCTCACCTTCCGCTCCCACATCAATAAAACCACCCAAACCTGCTTCTATCACCTCCGCACAATCTCAAAGATTAAAAACATCCTCACTCCTCCTGATCTCCATAAAGTTGTCAACGCCCTCATCTTCTCCCGCCTCGACTACTGCAACTCCCTCCTCTCCAATCTCGACGCTAAATCCCTCTCCCGTCTCCAACTGGTCCAGAACGCAGCAGCCAGACTTCTCACTGGTTTTAACAGAAGGGAGCACATCACCCCTGTTTTAGCGTCTCTTCACTGGCTCCCTGTGCGTTTTAGAATTGATTTTAAGATTTTACTGATTACTTTTAAAGCTCGTTTAGGTCTGGCACCAAGCTATATTTCTGAACTTTTAACCCCCTACGAGCCCCCCCGCAGCCTTAGATCCTCGGGCAGGTCCCTGTTGACTGTTCCAAGGTCGAGGCTCCGGACGAAAGGTGACCGAGCCTTCTCTGTCCGGGCTCCTCGGCTTTGGAACGACCTGCCCGAGGAGATAAGGCTAGCACCATCAGTATCCTCTTTTAAATCTCTTCTTAAAACCCACTTTTATCAAACAGCTTTTAACTGTTAGTTTTAAACTTCACTTGCTGTATTTTATTGTCTTCTTTGTCTTTGTTGAGTCTCTTTTGTGTTTTGCTCTGTTTGCTTTGTGTTTCTGTATCTAATTATTTTGACCTTGCATTATGACTGTTTTTATTGTTTATCATGCTGACTGTGCAGCGCTTTGTAAACACTGTTTTTAAAAGTGCTATACAAATAAAGATTATTATTATTATTATTATATATGTCTTATAAGCAATGAAAAAAACAGAATGGTCACTTTTGTATATTGCTGTGTGCCTGAAAATGCAAAATAGCCTTTTTTCTATTTTCCATTTCCCTTCAAAAATAGAAAATGTATTGAACGCAAAAGTACACGGACCCCAAAGCATAGACGAGTGTGAAACTGATGTAGACGATTGTGTGTGGAGTAATTAGGACCAGGTCTGTTGTAGACTGGGTTTTGGACCAGGCCATGACCTGAGCAGACAGCACTGCACTGACTTTTGGATGAAGAATATTTATATTAAGTAAAGTTGGCTTAATTGTGTAAAAAATGTGTTCTATGTACACTTTGTTTGGCTGTTTCAAATTGTTTTCATACTACTTACTGTAACACCCCTCTAGACATGCCTTTTACAGCCATTCTTCTTCAATGCTGTATTATATAAGCTGTGTGTGTGAGAATGGACTGAATGTGTGCGGTTTGTAAATATCCAATGCTCTATTTGAATGTGTATTACGGTCATGAACGAGCATGTGATCGTGTAAGACCCTTCCCTCCGAGCTCAAGACTTTTTTCTATTTGTTCAATGATGTTTATTGCAATAGTGTTTTGCTCTGTGGTTTTATGTGGTGATCTGTGTATGCATTTGTATTCATGAAAAGTCAGTGACATAAATGGCATTTGAAATTGTGGTCTTTGTGTCTTTCACTCACACACAATGCATTACTGTTGCTTCCATGTTTATTTACTGGGTCTTTTTAATCTGAGGTTTTTACTTAGAGCTCCACTTAGAAAAAACACAAAAAACAGAATTATGTAATGTAATTGTATAGTTTCTTGACTTTGAAAACGTTTGACTTGTTATTACCAGTTCTCTCATGTAGTTTTGGCATTTCACATCTTTTGAACTAGCTTTTTCAGACAGAAAAGAGAAAAAGAGCCACCCTCACTCAACCAATCCTCTCTCAGCCCAAAGCATCTTGAACATTTAGAACAGAAACTTTACAGCAAAAAGACTGAAGCTATCTTTATTATGCCTATTACCTTTAAACTAGAGTCATTAGTTTAAGTGAATGAATACACTAGAGCAGTGGTTCTTAACAAAATGAGATTTATTTTTTTCAAGACATGGAGGTTTTTTACTTGTGCAGAAAATGAGCCTGCATGAACATAAGATAAACTTTATTGATCTCACATCACCATCATCAGAACAAAATCAAAACAATGCATGAACTCACAACAAATGACATACCTGCAAATCAGTGTGACTTCTTGTTGCCTTTGAGAGACCAGTTCAGATATGTGTGGCTTTACCTGGCTGCCACTTTTATATCATTTTCACAGCAAAGTCTGTTCCTTTTCTTGGGTTTTATGTCGAGCATACCCGAAAAGGATTATTCGCAAAGATATGTAGTAAAAAATGGTAATGAAACAATCCCAGGCTTTGCTGCTCAAACTCGCTTGTAACACTGACATCTACTGGACAAATATAATCACTGCAGCTTCTGATTCAATACTTGATTCATGTAGTTTCAACATCATACCGTTTCATCTTCGCACATAACTATAACAAGAGATCTTCCAACTTTTAAGAAACCCTTGAATTGAATACAAGTTTGTTTTACATCTAAAAACAATTTACAGAAACAAAGGAACTGCGCTTTATGCAGATCACAGGCTTTTATTCAAGTGTTGGCAGTTTCAGTCGGCTTCTTGTTTGGCATCACAAAACATCCTTTGAGACAACACCTTGTTTGGTTGAATAAAATCATGATCCTAAACCATGGATTTCCGTTTTCCACACAAAGTCACCAACACTGTACAACACTGTCTCCTCACTACACAAGTAGTTTCAGGAGCATTTATAAAACTATGTTTAGGATTGACTCCAGACTCAAAATGCATGAGTAACGGCTGAGTAATGAGCCTCAGCAACTTATGCAAGATTAACTTCTGCAGTGTCTGCTTCATGTATATGAGGAAGACGTGAAGCAGGTTCAAGAAGATGAAGATGTCTCATAGTCGCAGTTAGTGGTGTTGCACAGTGATAGGAGGCGCAGTAGAAATAATCAAACGCACAATCCGTGCACTAATCTGACTTTTCAGCAGGTGTGCGCAACAAGATTTACTGATCTAAAAGTATTCGTTGCTGATTTGTCCGCACTTCTGACATCTCATGCGCTTCCCAGACCCGCGGCCACTTGCTGGAATGTCAAAAACAGTGACACCGGGTTGAAAACAATAAGTAAAACATGTGCTTTAGCCACCAATAACAGGAGTGTGGCAAACGCATGGGCAAAAGTGATGTTGTTAAATAACATATATAGCCGACGCAGCTGCGTAATTTCCATAGCAACGCTAAGTGTATAAATGTAGGTGCCAGGCGTCAAGACGTCACTCTGACTTTGACCGAGCCAGGGATTGCAGAGCTTTGAGCTTCAGCAGGTGCCAATACTTTCATTACGTTTTACATCAACAATATCGACCCAAGCTTAGTGGGACAGTCACTATTCATAGAATTAACCCTGTTGTGTTGATTATTTTACACTTTGCCAGATTTACAAACGACTACCAAACTTTTGAGCAAGCATCAACATGGACAACCATCGGGGCCAAGGTAAACTCTTTTAACATATTAATTGTCATATTTCACTAAAACATCAGAATAAATGTATGGGAAGAGTGGATGTTTTTCACATAATGTGGATAACTAATCAAGAAGACAATGTTTCTACGTTGTAAAATTATGGCTGCATTAACTGCATATTGCACAAATCTAGACATTTCAGACGACGATTTAAGGATGAATTAATGGCTAATACTTGGATAAAGTGACATAAATCTGTAGCTTAGGAAGGGAACTAACCATTTTCTGAGACATATTCATGAAAACAACAGTATTTATGTCATGGTTTGTTGAAATCCGTAACTTTCCTGCTGCGTTTTTGAAAACAAAATGGCGGCCGTCCCTATGGAATGTTTATTTTTGAATTGTTCCACCACTAACACTCATTATGGTACAGGTGTGCTCACTAACAGGGACTCTGCCAGTCAAACAAAAAAAAACCTCTGCCCTTCAACCATGTATTATTATTTTTTTGCTTTTCAAATATCAATATTTGTTCTGTCTTAGGAGACCACCGCCGCACTCCGACCCACGCTGGAGGTGGAGACCACTCATCTTCTGTTCGTGAGTTCCTCTCTTACACCATTCTTTGTTTCTGTTTCTGTAATACGGTAGTTACCACATGGCAAGTTGACCCCTGTTTGTGCCTTCAAACTATTCAGGGTAGAGATGTTTCAATAAAAAAGACTCTTCTGATGCCAAGTACCAATAGCTTTTGTATTTCTGTAACACTGATACATTTGACAGTAACAGTATTGGTATCAAAAACAGTGCATAGTGAAGTAGAAAATGCCTGTACTGATTTTTTTATTTTTTTTATTTTTTTTATAATTCTCATTTCAACAATAAGAAAATGCTTTAAGTCAACAATAAGAGCCCCTGTAATATTCTACTCATACAAATGCAGGCCTTGACATCAAGCTTTGTCAGCGTCCTGCCTTTTGGACAAGTACCATTTTCTTGTCAAAAGTTAATGGTCCAAATATTTTTCAATACAATGAGTTAAGAAGAGTTTGGCACTAACGGTGGCAAAAAAAATCCACTTTCAGCCCAAAAAGTCAAAAAAAATGACCGACTTAAAGCTGCACTAACTGACTTTATTTTCGTATTCATTACGAAAATGCTATCCATGTCCATGTAGTGCATTGGGATATACGTCCTTTTGAAGAAAAATAGCGCAGATTTGTGCTGGCCTGACATTATATTTTCGATCGAGTTTTGATGAAACAAGGAAGAGAATGTGTTTTGGGTCGCAGATTGTGACCAATCACAACGGACGAGTAGCCCCCACTTTCGTGAGAAATCTCCAGGTCCGTTAGCACAGACAGCTGAGTTAGCACAACAAGCGGCGGAGCTAACCTGAAACTTTCTCGTCTTCGTCACCGGGTACTGCTTACACAGCGAAACAGCCATCCAAAAGAAAGTCTCGTTCCTCCGCGCTTCCCGGTTCTATCGTTCTATGGTCCACGTGAAAATCCATATCCATGTATTATCCATATTGGGAGAGGCTAGCTCCGTCTCAACACTGTGTGTGTGGGGGGCGATAGCTTCGTGGGTGCGGGGAGGGGAGCAGAAAGAGCGAGGCCAATGAGTCCGCGGCTTCAAAATCCCAAAGTCAGTTAGTGCAGCTTTAAGTGTGCAAAATTAAAAACAAGACGACTGTTGTGGTGTGTTCCGTTTGATTTGTTCACAACATTTTAGTTTTGTGCACAACCAACACGTGTTGTTAATGCAAGGGGAAATTTAGGTACCCGAGCATTCATTTTGTAAGTTTTGGTTGCGCTTCGGGAGGAGACACGAGGGAGACCTGCACTTCCAACAAACTGGGGATGGTCCTGAACGTGCGTCTATGGTTTCTGTTTGCGCGTCTATGGTTTCTGTATGTGCGTCTATGGTTCTGTCCATGCGTCTATGGTTTCTGTATGTGCGTCTATGGTTCTGTCCACGCGTCTATGGTTTCTGTATGTGCGTCTATGGATTTTGTATGTGCGTCTATGGTTCTGTTTGTGCGTCTATGGTCCTGTCCGCTCATTTATGGTTCTGTCCGCTCGTTTATGGTTCTGTACGCGCGCCTATGGTTCTGTCCACACGTCTATGGTTATTGTATGTGCGTCTGTGGTTCTGTTTGCGCGTCTATGGTCCTTTCCGCTCATTTATGGTTCTGTACACTTGTTTATTGTTCTGTCCACGTGTCTATGGTTTCTGTATGTGCGTCTATGGTTTTTGTATGTGCGTCTATGGTTCTGTTTGCGCGTCTATGGTCCTGTCCGCTCGTTTATGGTTCTGTCCGCGCGCCTATGGTTCTGTCCACACGTCTATGGTTCTGTTTGCGCGTCTATGGTCCTGTCCGCTCATTTACTGTATGGTTCTGTCCGCTCGTTTATGGTTCTGTCCACGCGTCTATGGTTTCTGTATGTGCGTCTATGGTTTTTGTATGTGCGTCTATGGTTCTGTTTGCGCGTCTATGGTTCTGTTCGCTCATTTATGGTTCTGTCCGCTCGTTTATGGTTCTGTCCGCGCGCCTATAGTTCTGTCTGCATGTCTATGGTTTTTGTATGTGCGTCTATGGTTTTTGTATGTGCGTCTATGGTTCTGTTTGCGCGTATATGGTCCTGTCCGCTTTTTTATGGTTCTGTCCACGTGTCTATGGTTTCTGTATGTGCGTCTATGGTTTTTGTATGTGCGTCTATGGTTCTGTTTGCGCGTTTATGGTTCTGTCCGCTCGTTCATGGTTCTGTCCGCGCGCCTATGGTTCTGTCCACACGTCTATGGTTTACGTATGTGCGTCTATGGTTCTGTTTGCGCGTCTATGGTCCTGTCCGCTCATTTATGGTTCTGTCCGCTCGTTTATGGTTCTGTCCACGCGTCTATGGTTTCTGTATGTGCGTCTATGGATTTTGTATGTGTGTCTACGGTTCTGTTTGCACGTCTATGGTTCTGTTTGCGCGTCTATGGTTCTGTTTGCGCGTCTATGGTCCTGTCCGCTCGTTTATGGTTCTGTTACGCGCGCCTATGGTTCTGTCCACACGTCTATGGTTTTTGTATGTGTGTCTATGGTCCTGTCCGCTCTTTTATGGTTCTGTCCGCTCGTTTATGGTTCTGTCCGCGCGCCTATGGTTCTGTCCACACGTCTATGGTTTTTGTATGTGCGTCTGTGGTTCTGTTTGCGCGTCTATGGTCCTGTCCGCTCATTTATGGTTCTGTCCGCTTGTTTATGGTTCTGTCCGCGCGCCTATGGTTCTGTCTGCGTGTCTATGGTTTTTGTATGTGCGTCTATGGTTTTTGTACGAGCGTCTATGGTTCTGTTTGCGTGTCTATGGTCCTGTCCGCTCATTTATGGTTCTGTCCGCTCGTTTATGGTTCTGTCAGCGCGCCTATGGTTCTGTCCACACGTCTATGGTTTTTGCATGTGCGTCTATGGTTCTGTTTGCGCATCTATGGTCCTGTCCGCTCATTTATGGTTCCATCCGCTTTTTTATGGTTCTGTCCACGCGTCTATGGTTTCTGTATGTGTCTATGGTTTTTGTATGTGCGTCTATGGTTCTGTCCACGCGTCTATGGTTTTTGTATGTGCGTCTATGGTTCTATCCATGCGTCTATGGTTTTTGTATATGCGTTTATGGTTCTGTCTACGCGTCTATGGTTTTTGAATGTGCGTCTATGGTTCTGTTCGCTCATTTATGGTTCTGTCCGCGCGCCTATGTTTCTGTCCATGCGTCTATGGTTTTTGTATGTGCGTCTATGGTTCTGTTTGCGTGTCTATGGTTTCTGTATGTGCATCTATGGTTCTGTTTGCGCGTCTATGGGGTTTGTATGTCTGTCTATGGTTCTGTTTGCTCGGCTATGGTCCTGTCCGCTCATTTATGGTTCTGTCCGCTCGTTTATGGTTCTGTCCGCTCGTTTATGGTTCTGTCCACGCGTCTATGGTTTTTGTATATGCGTCTATGGTTCTGTCCACGCGTCTATGGTTTTTGAATGTGCGTTTATGGTTCTGTTTGCGCGTCTATGGTTCTGTCCGCTCATTTATGGTTCTGTCCGCGCGCCTACAGTATGGTTCTGTCCATGCGTCTATGGTTTTTGTAAGTGCGTCTATGGTTCTGTCCACGCATCTATGGTTTCTGTATGTGCGTCTATGGTTCTGTTTGCGCGTCTATGGTTTTTGTATGTGCGTCTATGGTTCTGTCCACGCATCTATGGTTTCTGTATGTGCGTCTATGGTTCTGTTTGCGCGTCTATGGTTTTTGTATGTGCGTCTATGGTTCTGTCCACGCATCTATGGTTTCTGTATGTGCGTCTATGGTTATGTTTGCACGTCTATAGTTTTTGTATGTGCGTTCATGGTTCTGTCCACGCATCTATGGTTTCTGTATGTGCGTCAATGGTTCTGTTTGCGTGTCTATGGGGTTTGTATGTGCGTCTATGGTTCTGTTTGCGCGTCTATAGTTTTTGTATGTGCGTCTATGGTTCTGTCCACGCGTCTATGGTTTTTGTATGTGCGTCTATGGTTCTGTTTGCGTGTCTATGGTTTCTGTATGTGCATCTATGGTTCTGTTTGCGCGTCTATGGGGTTTGTATGTCTGTCTATGGTTCTGTTTGCTCGCTATGGTCCTGTCCGCTCATTTATGGTTCTGTCCGCTCGTTTATGGTTCTGTCCGCTCGTTTATGGTTCTGTCCACGCGTCTATGGTTTTTGTATATGCGTCTATGGTTCTGTCCACGCGTCTATGGTTTTTGAATGTGCGTCTATGGTTCTGTTTGCGCGTCTATGGTTCTGTCCGCGCGCCTATGGTTCTGTCCATGCGTCTATGGTTTTTGTATGTGCGTCTATGGTTCTGTCCACGCGTCTATGGTTTTTGTATGTGCGTCTATGGTTCTATCCATGCGTCTATGGTTTTTGTATATGCGTTTATGGTTCTGTCCACGCGTCTATGGTTTTTGAATGTGCGTCTATGGTTCTGTTCGCTCATTTATGGTTCTGTCCGCGCGCCTATGGTCCTGTCCATGCGTCTATGGTTTTTGTATGTGCGTCTATGGTTCTGTTTGCGCGTCTATGGTTTTTGTATGTGCGTCTATGGTTCTGTCCACGCATCTATAGTTTTTGTATGTGCGTCTATGGTTCTGTCCACGCATCTATGGTTTCTGTATGTGCATCTATGGTTCTGTTTGCGCGTCTATAGTTTTTGTATGTGCGTTTATGGTTCTGTCGACTTATCTATGGTTTCTGTATGTGCGTCAATGGTTCTGTTTGCGTGTCTATGGGGTTTGTATGTGCGTCTATGGTTCTGTTTGCGCGTCTATAGTTTTTGTATGTGCGTCTATGGTTCTGTCCACGCATCTATGGTTTCTGTATGTGCGTCTATGGTTCTGTTTGCGCGTCTATGGTTTTTGTATGTGCGTCTATGGTCCTGTCCGCTCATTTATGGTTCTGTCCGCTCGTTTATGGTTCTGTCCACGCGCCTATGGTTCTGTCCACACGTCTATGGTTTTTGTATGTGCGTCTATGGTTCTGTTTGCGCGTCTATGGTTTTTGTATGTGCGTCTATGGTCCTGTTTGCGCGTCTATGGTTCTGTCGGCTCATTTATGGTTCTGTCCGCTCGTTTATGGTTCTGTCTGCGCGCCTATGGTTCTGTCCTTGCGTGTATGGTTTTTGTATGTGCGTCTATGGTTCTGTTTGCGCGTCTATGGTTCTGTCCGCTTGTTTTTGGTTCTGTCCGCTCGTTTATGGCACGACAGCAACAAATCTGGAACAATTAATTGAAAATTATTTATTGTCAGGTAGGGCTGGGCAATAAAACGATATATATCGCAATAGACAAGGGGCTCGATAGAATGTTCGATAGTTTAACTTCACTCTCAGTCAGAGTCAGAAGCGCGCGGCATTCTGGGGGATGTAGGCATAGGCTTCTCAACCTATCACAGCCAATCATGGACTGCAAAACATTCTGGGAAATGCAAAAACAACAACTGCACCAATCTAAGATTGTTTTTCAATGCCGTGTCAATGGTTTCCCAAAATTAACAATTGTAAACCGCTTTGAGACTCGGCGGTATATAAATAAAGATTACTACTACTTACTTATGCATGTCCGTGTGAGGCATAGCATGTGCGGCGCGGGAGAGAGAGTGAACACAGAGACCCGATGCATGCGGCAAAAGCAAGAGATGAACTTTTTCCTCTGTGCGGCTATCAGAGAGCGGTCGCACGGAGTCGTCATGGGGACACAAAACAGGAGATAAACCAGGACTAAACCAGGATTGCACCAGGACTAACTATGGGGGAGGCTGTTTGTGAACATATTGCTCTAGCCTCATTCCCCCGTGACTGTAAACAAGGCTGATAAAGTGTGTTAGCAGACACGACAAACGTATTTATTCAAGTAAAATAATAATAATAATAATCAATATCGTTATCGACCGATATGAATTATTTATATTGTGATATAGTTTTCAGCCATATCGCCCAGCCCTAGTGTAGAGGCCTCAGTGGAACAACAGCGTCTTGCATAATAGGATTTCAATATTTCAAACCTGCATGAATGATGCTAAAAATGACTTGATTTATGTTCTTTTTTAGGTCACCTTGAAGATCGGGTTCATCTTCCCTTCCCTCCGCAGGGTTTCTATCCCCCGCAGGTGGTCCTCCCTCCACAGGTTTTCTATCCCCTACAGGGGGACTACCGTCCGCAGGGTTTCTATCCCCCGCAGGTGGATTACCTTCCGCAGGGGGACTACCGTCCGCAGGGGGACTACCGTCCGCAGGGGGACTACCGTCCGCAGGGTTTCTATCCCCCGCAGGTGGACAACCGTCCGCAGGGTCTCTACCCTCCGCAGGGTTTCTATCCCCCACAGGTGGACTACCTTCCGCAGGGGGACTACCGTCCGCAGGGTTTCTATCCCCCACAGGTGGACCACCTTCCGCAGGGGGACTACCGTCCGCAGGGTTTCTATCCCCCACAGGTGGACCACCTTCCGCAGGGGGACTACCGTCCGCAGGGTTTCTATCCCCCACAGGGGGACTACCGTCCGCAGGGTTTCTATCCCCCGCAAGTGGACTACCTCCCGCACGGTCTCTACCGTCCGCAGGGTTTCTATCCCCCACAGGTGGACCACCTTCCGCAGGGGGACTACCGTCCGCAGGGTTTCTATCCCCCACAGGTGGACCACCTTCCGCAGGGGGACTACCGTCCGCAGGGTTTCTATCCGCAAGTGAACTACCGTCCGCAGGGGTTTCTATCCCCCACAGGTGGACTACCTTCCGCAGGGTCTCTATCCCCCGCAGGTGGACTACCTTCCTCAGGGCTTCTACCCCCCTCAGGTGGACGACCCTCAGCTGGTGGTTCTCCCTCCGCAGGCGGCTGTCGTGGATCCTGGTGTTCAGCCTCCCTCTCCTCCTCTTTCTTCACCTCCTGATTCTCCTAACTTTCTTTTTCCTTCCCCAGCACCTTCCTCTCCGGCTCCCACGTCTCCCTCTTCTTCCTGCTCTTCTGATTTTTCCGCCTCAGATTTCCAGAGTCCTGAGGAGTTCCTGAACTTTTTTGTACATACTCTGGATTCAGCTCCTGCCTCCCCCAGTACTTCTCCTCCTCAGGTTCCTGCTAGTCATGGTGGAGCCGCCTCTTCCCCTCCTGTTTCTGCCCCTCCTCCTTTTCTTTCCTCCCCATCAGGTCCTGCCTCTCCCTCTTCTCCCGATGCGCCTTCCTCATCTTCTTTTTCTGCCTCTGATTTCCAGAGCCTTGAGGAGTTCCTGGACTTTTTTGTGCAGACTCTAGATCCAGCTCCTGCCTCCCCCACGGTTTCTCCTCTCCAGGTTCCTCTCATCCTCGGTGCAGCTGTCGTCTCTCCTCCTGGCAGTGCTCCTCCTTCTCCCCTCTTTGCCTCCCCCTCACACTCTTCCTCCCCAGATCCAGAGGAGTTGGTTTTAGGTCCAGACCTCCCTTCTCCCTCTGTGTCAGATGTCCGTGACCCAGATTGCCCAACAGTTCCTAACACTGTTTCTCCCACTCCCTCTTCTTCCCACAAACGCAGCAGGTCCGAGTGCTCTGCTGAGAACAGCTCCAAGAGGCGGCGCTGCTCGTCTCCTGCTCCTGCCTTCTCCCCTTCTCCCCTCTCCCCCTCTTCTTCCTCCCGCTCTCCTTCGTCCTAACCTTCACAGCCCCTCTCTCTTCTCTCCTTCCATGTGACTCTCCCTCCCTCTCTCCAATCCTACCCCTGCCCACCACTTCTCCCTCCCACCCCTCCCCATCTCATTCCTGCCTCCTCCTCCTCACCCCATGTCTGTCCTCTGAATTCCTCTGATCTTTCTTCCTTAGATCAGATCCAGTTCCAGAGGACCCAAATGTTTGCCCTTCCTCCTTATTTTCTTTCTTCCGCTTCCTGATTCCCCCTCTCAGGAATCTCAACAGAGCCAGTCTCTGGAATGACGAACATCTGCGTCCAGAGCAGTGGAGGCAGGCTCCTTTTGTGGCAATGACACAAAAGGAGCCTGCCTGACTAGTGGCAGCTGTCACAATTTCAGGGCAGCTGTCAACTTTAGTGGCATTTTCAGTAGCAACACGTACACTGGTACAGCTTCCTTTGTAAAATCAGCAGAGAGTATTTTGACCCACTGCAAAATGATCTCTGCTGAGAAGAAAAATCAGGGCACCACTACCTGCCCTGGGGGATTCACGTGCCACTAAGCTTCCAGCTGCCACTGGACATGCCAATAAACTTCTAGCTGCCATTGAAAATGCCAGTGGCAGAGCAGGAACAGGTGAATTTAGGAGGACAGACATCAGTGTCCAGAGCAGACCCAGGTGAACTCTGGAGGACAGACATCAGTGTCCGGAGCAGACGGTCAGCACTAGATCATATACGGAATCGGGATGGAAGCGGAAGTATATATAACAAACTACCTATTAATGCCAGAACTTAACCAGCCATTCCCATAAAATAACCCCAACCCACCCTTAACCCTAACCTTAACCATCTTACTCAGACGCCTAAAACTTAACCAGTCACCATTTAAGGACTTATTAGTCTAAAACTAATTCGAAAGTAGGAGTGTTACTTCCGGTTTCGTCCCGATTCCGTATATGATCTAGTGCCGACCTAGAGCAGACCCAGGTGAACTCTGGAGGACAGACATCAGTGTCCAGAGCAGACCCAGGTGAACTATCAAGGACAGACACCACATTTTCCTTTTTAAAATCTGTTCTCTCAACACTAAATTGTATTTGTGCAGCTGCAGAGAGGTGCCGCAGAAGCACTTGTCTTCATTGAGTGCAGAGCGTTGGGGAGCAGAGCCACTGTTGCTGGATCACACGTCACAGAGCTCATCCAGGACAAGCACACAGGACCTGATCCAAGATAGGTCCTGTGACTGGAGCAGGCCCGCAATGGTCTCACAGCACGGCAGGTAATGCTCCACATGTGTCTGTCTATTCCCTGGTCTCTTAGTCTCTCTCTTGTGTCTTCCAGGATTGGTGTTTTGTTGTGGGATCTCTCAGAAGGCACACCTGACTCCTACAATCAAGTTCTCCAGGTCTCACAGTCAGATTGCTCCATCTCTGCAGTGGTACAGACCTATCTTTTGCTTGAATCAATTGAAACTTCAAACTTTACAGCAGAGACTACTTCCTTTGTAAACTCAGCAAAGAGCATCTTGACCTACTGTTGCTGTGCTTGTTTTTCCAGCTACACCAAGGACAACACTCAGGGCACCTTTACCTGCCCTGGGGGACATTCAGGCTAAAATGCTACCAAGCTTCTAGCTGCCACTGAAAATGCCAGTGGCAGAAAGAGGCAGCGTCTGATCAGCTGTGACAGCTGCTGGTGCCACAAAAGGAGCGTGCCTTCTCTCGTCCAGCACAGACTCAGGTGAACTCTTGAGGACAGACATCACATGTTCTTTTAAAAATCTGGTCTCTCAACACTAAATTGTCAATAGTGTTAATTACTATAGAGCAATGGGGAGCGGAGCAACAGATGCTGAATCAACTCTGGATCTGGATCTCAGACCTCACAGGGCATTCAGGACAAGGGGGGACAGCACACAGGACACTGCAGGTAAGGGTGGTCTATGTATTAAGTGAGGCAAAAACATATTTGTCACTTACTGACAGTTTTCCCACCACCAAGAAGGTTTCTTATTTCAACTTCCACTGAATCAATTCATCTGTATTATGGTGGAGACAATAAGTGCTCTGTTCCCCACGTGTCTGTCTATTCCCTAGTCTCTCATTCTCGCTCTTGTGTCTTCCAGGATTGAATCTCTGAGCAGGCACACCTGACTCCTACAATCAAGCTCTCCAGGTCTCACAGGCAGATTGTTCCATCTCTACAGTGGTACAGATCTAGTTTAAGCTTGAATATTATGAAACTTTAAACTTTACAGCAGAGACTACTTCCTTTGTAAACTCAGCAAAGAGCATCTTGACCTACTGTTGCTGTGCTTGTTTTTCCAGCTACACCAAGGACAACACTCAGGGCACTTTTACCTGCACTGGAGGACATTCAGGCTAAAATGCTTCCAAGCTTCTAGCTGGCACTGAAAATGCCAAAGAGGCAGCGTCTGATCAGCTGTGGCAGCTGCTGGTGCCACAAAAGGAGCGTGCCTTCTCTCGTCCAACACAGACTCAGGTGAACTCTTGAGGACAGACATCACATGTTCTTTTAAAAATCTGTTCTCTCAACACTAAATTGTATTTAGTGTTAATTACTATAGAGCAGTGGGGAGCGGAGCAACAGATGCTGGATCAACTCTGGATCTGGATCTCAGACCTCACAGGGCATTCAGGACAAGGGGGGACAGCACACAGGACACTGCAGGTAAGGGTGGTCTATGTATATATTTGTATATAATGTGGGGCAAAACCATAGTTTTCAGTTACTGACCCACCACTAAGAGGGGTTCTTATTTCAACTTCAATTGATTCTTATATACTGTAATTATATATATATATATATATCTGTGCCCCATGTGTCTGTCTGTTCCCTGGTCTCTGAGTCTCTTGGTCTCTGTCTTGCAGGATCTGTGTTTTGCTGGTGGGATCTCTGAGCAGTTACACCTGACTCTTACAATCAAGCTCTCCAGGTCACACTCCCAGATTGTTCTACTGTGACGAGGTGAGCTGAAGGAAGGACCCAAAATGCAAGAATGCAAAAGAATAATGAATTTAATTATGATAAAAGTTCATTGAAAATCCAAACTAAACACACGTATCAGGAACACAGACAAAGACAATGAACCAGCAACAAATGGGGGAAGAGCACAGGGCACATAAAGACACAGAGACACAGGTTAAACACATTAGGGCGGGGCACACAATCATCTGTGGAACAAGTCAGGAAGTAAAACTAAAAACAAAATAATACAAAATCCACACCATGATATCTACAGTGGTACAGACCTATCCTTAGCTTGAATCTAGTGAAACTTCAAACTTCAGCTTGTGCTCACATGTTTTGCCTTGTTATTCATTCAAATTGTCTTTTTTCCCAGACCACCTTCCTGCTCCAGAGACCCACCAGCCCAGCCAAGTCAAGCGCTCAATAAATGTTTTTCCCTTTTTCCTAACCTGGAATGTCTGCTTTGGTGTCCTTTTTCGAATCTTAATTTCAGTCTCAAATTCAATTGGTCCATATTTTGAAAAAATATGACTATAAAAGAGAAAGTACATTACAGTATACAGTCAGTCCAAAAAGGTGTATTGGTGCTAGGAGGTTCCTTCTCAGAGCAGAGGTGTAGTGACATGAGACTCATTTTAAACTTGTGACTTTTGTGTGTAAACTATTCATAGGCAGCCGTTGTGTTTTAGTTTAGTTAAATCAAACTTTGATTCGTCAACCACAAATTTACAATAGCTTACAATTGCATAAAGGAAAGAGACAGGTGTGATTGCAACTATATCATCTTACAATACAATACAATTTATTCTTAGCCCTAAATCACAACAGAAGTCATGTCAGAGGACTTAACAAAACCATTGAATCACCAACACAGATCAGAGAATCAACAGTTAAAACACAAAAAGAATATAGAACACATGTTAAAAATGTATTTAGAAAGGGATCCGCTCCCACAGACGGACGGGCTATAGATCCAGGACCTAAGCTACAGAACGTGGACCAGCGGCCGCTGAGCGTGGACAGGTCCGGTGCAGGACTGAAGCACTCCCAGGCGGGTCGGGCAGGGCAGGTGTAGATGGAGGAGGCCAGGCTCAGAGGTCCCGTCATCGTACCATGAAACAGACAATGGGACAACGGGTGAATAGCAATGAACAAACTACAGTCAGAATCCTAATAATGCAAAACAGATAAAGTAGGAAGGAGGAGGAGGATAGTGCTCAAGTTACCATACTTCTCCCAGCAAACTGACTCCCTATGCAGGGGTGGTGCAGATACTGTATACAGTAAGAGTAAGTTTAAGAAGCTGCAGGTTGCATAAAATTATGCACTTCGAATTTTACTGAAAGTCCCTTGTTGGACTAGTGCCAGCTCACTGATTGATCTTAATAATGTCCCTACTCTGAATGCTGTGATCAGATGCTGTGATTTAATTTATAGGTTCATGAAACGCTCTGAGGACTCTTTAATAACTAATAATAGAAACTTGCAATGGCTGAAGCCATTGCGATTGACTGCGGAACAGATCTAATGTGGAAATCTGCTAAAAAAAATCCTTGAAATCCTTTAAAAGGCCTTGAAACTGTTAAAATACTTGATAGATATTTGAAACTCTTGAAGTCCTTGAAATTGTTGAAACCTTTAAACTCCTGAAATCCTTGAAACTGTTGAAACATTGAAACTCCTGAAATCCTTGAAACTTTTTTTAAACCTGGAAACTGTTGAAAGTGTGGAAACTCCTGAAATCCTTGAACCTCCTGATATCCTTGAAACTGGTTAAATTCTTAAACAGTTGAAATCCTTGAAACTACTGAATGTATTGAAAGTGTCCTTGAAACTGAAAAATCCCCTCACCGCTGAAACAATTTGGTTCCTGTAACTAAGGAAACCTGGTCTGTGGTCATTATCTGGTGGTGGTCTGAGTCTTCGTTTGGGTCTTGGTCTGGTGGTATAATGCAACCTATTAAGTTGCATTATACTGGTTTACATGGAAAAATCCCTATTAAGTTGCATTATACTGGTTTACATGGAAAAATC